TATAATAAAAAGACAGTTGGGAATTCCTTTGAAGAAAACGGGAGGGTTTACCCGTTTCGCAATGACACTAACCTACGAACAGGATCTTCGTAGAGAATTCAAGTGATACAAAAACTAAAACTGAGGTTAGAACCTTTCGTAAATACGACTCGTCTTCTATGAGGTACGATTGCAGAAATGAGGAAGTAAAAATGAGAGTGGTTTTTTTTTTTTTTTCTTCGGAAGAGAAAAATGTGTCACATTATGAGAAGGATTTCAAAACATCTCACGGAGCACTTTCACCGCTAACGCCATTACCTGAGGCACTGAATTTCACCTGATGTGTAACCATGCAACCTTCATTATACTGCTTTTTTAGTAGAAGTCTCTACCTATTACTAGCTCTTTGCTATTTTATTTTAATAAATATAGGATACTCGATAAAAATAATTAGGATGCAATAGATGTACTATGCCTATCAATCTGTAACAGGATCCCAGCGGAAACATTAATTACCAGATCGCAGTGGAGTACTCTTGAATGCAAAATAGATCTGTTTCATTTACTTCCTGCTTTTTTTTTCCAGTTATAAGGAGGAAATATTGAAAAAAAATAACTTTAATATAGACCGTTTCCAAAAGTCTTTACCTGGCCGTTATTTTCAAACCTTTTGGTCGCAGATATATACTTCCAATTACAAAAATATTTTAGCTAAAATAAATATTCATGTTTTAGAATTTTTTAAATTCAAAGAAATCAGGTATATAAAAAAATTACGAAACATAATTTTTATATTTCTCCATCTCTATACTTATATTTAGGAAACTTTTGTACTCATGATGAAAAGGAAAACACAGAACATTTGATTATACATTTGAACATTATTTTCCGTTTGCATTGAAAGGCCATTTATTAACAAATTGTCTAATAACGATGGTTCGAGTCCCGGTGAGTGCATTGCACATTTTTCAAGTCTCCTGCGTCAAAAAAAAAAAAAAAAAAAAAAAAAAAAAAAAAAACCCTAACGATTCTGCAACTGAATATTGTTCATTTTACGGATTTTACTTTTGAATATAATTTGGTTTCTCAAATTTATGTTAACAAATGGATGAGTTATAATTTTCCCTATTGTTTTAAGTTAATTTCGCATGATACCACGTAATAGATTTTAGATGGCTAATATAGTTAATCGAATTAAACTATTTCTCCTGTATGCAGTGTAAACGCAGCTTTTATATGTTGCGGGAAGCAAAAACAACAATAACATACCAAGATATAATAATGATGTAATTAAATAAAATTTTTGGTGGTTAACAGTCTAACAGGAAGAAAATACACCAGATTAGTACAAAAAATTAAACAAAATTATTAAAAATACTCTTATTAATTTTATTTAAAGTTATTAAATTATTAGATATATTTATTATTATTATATAAATAGTGTTACACAAATTTTTCTTATGTTATTACACAAATTTATTAATAAAATTATTAAATTAAAAAGTTAAATAATAACATAACAAATTGAATTTATAAAAAAATAATAGAAAAAATCCTGAAATTTCTTTGGTCTTTCAAGGAGCAGGTAAAATTTTTCAACAGACCTACGGTTCTTATGTAAATGAGTAAAAATCAAAACTAAGTATCAAATAAGCCAAATTAAAATAATATGAAGGCATTGAATTTTTTAATTAACACAAATAAGAATACAATAAAATAAAGTATACACATTTTTATATGTGAATGATTAAAAATCAAAACTAAGTATCCAATAAACCAAATTAAAATAATACGAAAGCATTGAATTTTTTAATTAACACAAATAAGAATACGATAAAATAAAGTATACACATTTTTAAAACAATTACTTAGTCTTTTAAATAAATGACGAAAATTTAATCTGCTCTTACGTGACCCAAAACAAAAGTACTAAAAAAAACTTAAATAACATAAAATATGAATTTTCGAAAATAAATAAATAAACAATTGGTCAAATTAGAGCGATTAATAGTTTTCAAAATTACCAAAAACTGTTACCAATGAACAGTAATCAAATTCTTAAAATCAAGACTTAAGGAAACTAGACGAACAACATTTAAGACCGTTAATTATGAAATACTTCAATAAGTGCCAGTGTCTTCATTTAATTAATTATTATATCTTGATTCGAAGTATATAATTAATTTCACAGTATATTGCTCGACTTTTACAATCTTAATTTCCATATTCAACTTATATATATATATGTGTGTGTGTATAATATAGAAATAGAGATAGAGAGGGTTACATGTAAAATATAAATATCAAAGACATTTAATTGGCAATAGACTTTAAAATTTTTGACCTAAATCTAAATCCAATACCCTTCACATATGCACTGAACGTAGTATTTCTTTCCCTGCAGAAATAAGAGCTGCTGTGAGTTTTTATTAAATTATCACTTAGAACTGGAACAAAGAATTTCAGAGTATAAATACTTCAGCGGAATTTTACGCACTCTGTTTTCATCTTTGTATTGCACTGTTTTGCTGAATCGCGTCTCTTTGCTAAGCTATATTGTTTAAAAAATGTAGCTGCGTGCAAACTGCCCCCCTTGTGCTGTGCAGTGTAATGAGATATGTTATGCAATAACATATGTTAGCAAGAATCGATTAGTAATAAATGCATATTCGGATAATCATGTGATTTTGTGATTCTTCAAAAGAGTTCCAGTTACCTACTATGCCACAGAATCACGCTATCTACTTCCACCGTCCTCGCCACTCCAGCCATGGTTATTAATGAATGGTTCTATTAAATTATCTCTTCGTACCAATTTCTTATTAAGTATTATATATATATATGTATATGTCTGTTTGTATATGTGCTTACTTATGGTGTACGATAAAAAAAATGCGCAAAAATTTAAACCTAATATAGAACAAGGAGTTAAATATCATGTTCTACGTATTCAAACTATAAAATTCAGTTCAACAGCAACATCGCAAAATAGTTTTAAAATTAGCATATCTTTAGACTTTCCGATACAGAGTCTCGCGAGTAGGAGATAAAAATTTTTTTTTCCGTACAGTGTTGCCATTGCTTGCTTTGAAATCGTTGAGCTTGTTAAACAAAAATTCGTTGAAGTGTTACAAAGTATGAAATCGATAATAAAACAAATTTCAAATAACGGCTTCCACATGCCCATATTCTACGGAAGATTTCGTTATTCAAATTTTAATGGCTCTAGGTACCGTCGTTTTATAGTAATGCGAGAAATACACATACATTGATGTAGATTCTTCATTATTTAATTTCTTTAAATATAATACAGGGCTCTAATATCTGGCGGCAACAATTTGAAAAGGGGGTTCGCCGTTTATAGTTTTCAACGAAAAATGCCAAAACGAAATTAATAGTCCTTCAGGGCGAATTGCCCCTTTGGACTAAAAGTTTCACACTCTTAAGTTCAAAATTGACCAAAATATGTAGTATTAAAATCGAATCTCACATTTAGGGATAGACATACTAAGGGCAGAACATAAACTGAAGAACGAAATGCTTGCATCTGCAGGTTATCAAAAATAAAATTTTAAGAAGGTGTTTAGTTGTGATTTTAAGAGACTAAGTGACAAATATTTCTATGCGGATTATTGTGAAGAGTCATAATAAATGTAGATGTTTTCAAAATAGAGATCTTAGTCACCGAATGTTATGGAATTCGTATTCTAGAAAACAATGGCAGGAGCTTTTTGTACTAGTAATGTTGCTAGCCTGTAATGTTATCTGCATTAATTAAAATATTTGTGAATATTCGTGGTTTTAATGTAATGAAAAGTATTTGTAGTTTGTATAATGAAAGATATTTGTAGTTTTAACGTTTTTTGTACTATTACCAGATTATTATTCGAAAGTAATGAAACTTCATGAGAATGCTTATAACGTATTTTTAGTCTTTAAAAACTTGTAAATTACTTGTGTGAAAATTCTTTAGGCATATCTAATGTAACAAAATTTTAAATTAAAGACATTGTAATGTTGCGCGGCTCCAACCTGCACGCAACAATAGCGGTGACTGCTATGAACTGGAAAGTACACAAAGTCTTGAGAAGGGTTTAAATCCCTTTTTATTCAACTTTAGAAATTACAGATGCGTGCTCTTGACGCTCACAAACTAACTACGCCGACCCGGCGGTTAAATAAAATAAAAATAAGAAACTAAAAAAGAATAATAACAAGTGCCTACTACGAGGCTCTCTAAACGTAACTAACCTAACCGCGTTCTAAGATACCGCTGATATTTCAGCAAACTTCTGAATATTAAGTTGAAAGATTCAACTATCTGCCGAGGCAAGCACACAGGCCGAAACGCGTGGTTCTTCAACTTTCTACCTAGCAATCTTCACACTCGTGAAGCAAGAAAGCACACTATCGAACTCGTTTCCCTTCTTTTTAACTCAAAATACTTCCGCTGACAATTTGAATACTTTGCGCGTTCTACTAAAATTTACATACTCTGGCATTGGCAATTCCAGAGAAAAGTAAGGCTTGACAAGAAAGATAGTTTAAACTTAAAATAAATGTTAGTTAAAATAAATATAAACCCTACATTTGCCGCTGCCAGAATTTGGTAAACTTGGAAGCGCAGGTCCTAGAAACGACCTGTTGAAGAGTTTCCATAATTCTGAACTAAAATTTAAGAGCCTCGTTTACATAAAAAACTGTTTTCTCACAAAAGTTAGAATAAATTTCTGTAGATACTTATTTTACCCTCTCTTCTTACAGCAACCTTTCCTGGACTTCAGCAATCAATCTATTCTCTTCCTTCCAACATTAGTAAATCCCCAAAGAATATCAGAGTAGGGCATTTTATGACGATAAAAGCAACCTCGAATTATTCGAAGTTGTTTATTAACAAATCCTTTAGTGTAAAGTGAAAATGACGTCAGAAATGACTAATTTTGAAATTTTAATATCTTAATCAATTTTTTATGTTTTATTTTTTATAAAGCGTGTAACATTTCCTTAAAATATAATTATAGGACCTAGAGGAAGGTATAAAGTGGGCGTATTGAAGGACAAGAAGAACGTAAGTTAGATTTCGTAATTTTTTAAAAACTGATTTCTTTAAATTTAAAAATGCCAAAATAAGAATATTTGCGTGATTTGAAACATTTTTGTAACTGGAAGTATACATCTACGACCAATGGTTGCGAAACTAAAGATCGAGTAAGGATTTTTTCTGGACATTGTGCGTATTGAGTTCATTCAAAAAAGCAAAACTGTTCAAGATATTAGTTTTGTGAGGCATCAAATAAAACTAAGATACTACTTATAATTATTTTATTCACGTTAGTTTAACTTGCAATGTAGGACAATTTCTTATTGTTTAATAATTAAGGATTGAAATAAATAGGACATTTATATTTTATTTCTGCCTACCAGCGGCCGAGCGGTAAAGTCGCTGAACACTGGTAGTTCGGTCCTACGTTCGAATCCCGCTAACGGGCTGGCTGCATGGGCGTTTTCGTGGTTTTCCCCATGTGTAACGTGTATACGAGCCATTTTCCTTAAAAAGTCCTCCACGAAAGCATCCCTCCTCTTAGGCAGATAGCCCTCGAGGCTTTGCCATAATCACACACACATATATATCTTATTTCTAGTAATTTATTTACATTATAGAGACATTAGGTTATTTCTAAGCAGGAGAGATGAAAAATGAGCAATGCCCTCGCTGGGACTCGAACCACGGACCTCTCGAATTCGCGTCGAGTGTGCTGACCACTATACCACGAAGGCATACTAGGAAGGCGGCAGAAATATCTTATAACATTGTTTTAAGTATGTCACTTAATTTTATAGTCCATAATGGCAGAACAGAATTTGATTCGAATCCCAGCACTACGTATTTCCACCTCTTTTTATTCAAAAATTCGAAGAAAAAGGAACGGCATAATTCATATCTATGTTTACAAAATAAGTTGCTTTAACTCTCGTCATAGAAAGTTGGAAAAATTGTGTAACGGAAAAACCATGGAAGCAAATGCATACCGAAATCTCATAGTTCATCAAACAAGTCAAAAGCAGTGTATTATGAAAATTTTAAGGAATTTCTATGCAAATTATTTGCACATCTGCCAGCTTCAATGTGTTTTTCTATGCATTGTAATATTTTGTGTGTTACCTTTACTTATTAAATATCATGTTCTTTGCACTTAAACCATAAAATTCAGTTAAATAGCAATGTCACAAAAAAATTTTAAAATGAGCCTATCTTTAGAATTTCTGATACACAGTTCCGCGCGCTGCAGTTGAGTTTGTTACTCAAAAACTCGTAAAAGTTTTACTAATTATGAAATCGATCATAAAACAAATTTCAAATTTCAAATTTGGTCTTCCACATGCCCATATTCGTAGGAGGATTACATAATTCAAACTTCAATGGCTCTGTGTACCGCTGTTTTATCACAATGCGAGAAATAGACATACATTTATGCAGATTTTTCATTATTTAATTTCTTCAAATATAATAAAGGACTGTAACATTGGGTGGCAACAGAATGGAAAGTGAAAATAATAGTTATAGTGATTCAACGCAAAATCGCAAAACGAAAACAATAGTCCCTTCTGAGACAAAGCCCCTTTGGACTAATAAAAATTTTATCAGCCATTATGTTTCACATTATCAATTTATTAGCATATTTAAAGAACATATTTAAACATTCATTTACTTGATAAAACAAATATTTCAGTTGTCCATTTTTTTCTTCCTTGTACGAAGTAAAAAGGAAGTATTGTAATCGCGAAAAGTTTCAGGCAGTATATTGTGAACGAAAATATCCACTTGACCGCTATCGAATGCAATTTAACTATGTTTTTGCGTGATATCTGTACGTAAAGACAGAATAAAAGACTCTTTCCTTCCAAAAAATTATAAAACTGCTTTAAAATGAATTCTGAAGAGAATGTTTCGTGTGACTGTACGTACGTATCTCGTATAACTCAAAAACGAGTAGCCTCAGAACGTTGAAATTTTTTATATAAGACTGCTATAACATGTAGATGTGCACCTCGTATTTTGGTTGCAATCGGCCGCACCAAACGTATATAAATATATATATTTATATACGTTTGTTACCTGGCTTAGTGATCTCAGTTTCTTTACTCTTATATGTTTGTAAATTGTGCATTCAGTGCTTTAAAAATGTTTGAATCATGTTATTTTCCTACTAAACTGAAGTCCCGTAAGTAAGCAGGTATTAGCCCCACACACTAACTAGAAAACTAGCAACATTCTGGCATCATTTCTCGAGTCGTGATGGAAATTGTGACTCTAGTGAGCACTGCAAATACTGCCACCGGCGGCGGCATCAACGATACTCCTACCTTTCAGCGTTAAATTAACTCAAGTAAAAGGGGTTGAATTACATGATACACACTGCGAAATACATAGTTGTGTAGGTGCGTATTTTATTGTAGTTATCTGTTGTAGTGTATACAGGCAACATGTTTCAGGAGGACATTATATATTGCATTAGAAACAGGCGTGATGTTCCCACGTTACAAATCATTTTTGTAAACATGATCTGTATACTATCAGAATTAATTAGGAACTATAAAATTGTTTACAAAGCTTACATTTAAGTGCTGTTGTAAAGTTGTGCTGAAACTTTAACAGCTCAATTTTGACGATTCATTATGTGCTGTAACGCATGTTTGTGTAAATTGATTTTCAGAAATCACATTATTGTCTGGCAGTACATTGTTATTTGCATGTAAAAATTGATCATGACATTATAAACTGAGATGGCTAGAAGCAACGTATTTCTAGTATATAGATCATGCCTACAATCATGACTTGTTTACATAATTTTTTTTACAAACAGCTGTCAAAAATAGAAAAGAATATAAAATAATAAAAAAGACATTAATAAATAAGTCTGAAAACAAAAGAACAAAAATAGCTTCATCTGCATACTTATGCTTCTGAGTACTTTTAGATTTATCTACCTACATATGCTGATACATAGCTAACTTATTTTTATCAGTTCATTGTATGCAATTATGTGTGTTTTTACAATAATTAGTTTACATGAATTACATACTATGATACATTACATTGTTGATACTTTACCAATTCAATGCTGGTTATTTATTATATGTGTTCACTTATCAGGTAATGTGACCTTATGTTTGTGTGCCTTTAGGAAATCTGCAAGCAATGTTTGTAAAATTAGCAACAATTTAAAAGCTGTTTAAGTGCGGTTAAGCCTAATTTTTAAATAACATGGCGGACATGTTTGTTTACATTGGAAACTGCAGAATAGTAGATTTGTTGCCAATCTAGAGAGACTAAGCTTCGCAACAACAAATATAACGCATTCATTTATTATTGCGAATTAAATCCTGCTTAATCCTCTCTAGAATTTTTGCGAGGAAATAAGTATTTAAGATTTACTTCGTAATTTTTAATATAGATATTTTGAGTTTTATGTATTTTTGCCGTGTCGCGAAGTGAGAACTGAATTAATTGAATAAGAAATACTGAATCGTCTGTTGAAAAATTGTTCCTTTTTCGTTTTGTTTGCTTAATTTCTTTTATACCTCGTTTTAGATTTATTATAGTATTTGAATAGAACATGTGGCAACGATTACATAATTCTTCAAATGACATAAATTTTGTGCATTCTGAGTTATAATATGAACGAAATATAACTCTGTTAAATGAATCTAGCACCAAAGTGTCGCTATGGTGAACACATATAGTGAATTTTAAAGAGTGCATTTATTCTGTCGTGGTTTATGCGATTTCGACGAAGTAGATTTAATTCAATCCATTAATTTTAAATGAAATGCAAGAAAAAATGCGTATAATTTAATATTCGGTACAAGGAAGTCATGTGGCGTACACATCAGATTTTTATAAAAGTCATACCAAGTCACGTTTTTAGGCATTTCATACGTGTTGGTCTAAGTTATATATAGGTTCATTTCTTTTCCTTTCAATGTAAATTATCAGTCTAGAATTCTACAGATATACCCATAACTGCGCAGTGATATCCAATGCATGCAAATAAAACAATTTGTTTCAGTATATACCAATGATCGTGCCAGAGCGTGTGTTGTGTCACGTGTATTTTGTCCCGTTCATAATCGTAAACGCTTTAAAAAGTAATTTAATCATTGCCGGTCGCTTCCAGTATTACTAATGAGCTTAAAGTTTTGGTGCAGTTCAGTGGGGTTGCAACAAATATCTGCACATTTTTATGTGTATTCAGTCAGTACCTTTTCATCATATTCAAAGTACCTGAATAACCATTTTAAGAGTACCTGAATCATCATTGCAACAGCAGAGGGAGCTAAAAATTTGAAGAAGACGCAGAGACAGGGAACGAAACACGAAAAAGAGGAGGTAATCCAAGAAAAATTGGAAAACTACAGATCTCTAACTAGTAATACTGAGACGATGTCCACGGTTAACCTGAAATCACAGTTAATCCGAATAAGAGTTAAAAAAATGCAAAAATGTGGAATAACCTGTATTATAACTTACAGAAAAATGCTAATAGCAATTTGTCTTTTTTTTTTTCAAACAGTATAATTTGGGATAAGCTTTTATTAATTTTCTAAATAAAATAAGCATTTAGAACAAGAATAATACATTCAAAGCAGAAAGAGCAATTTTTTATATTACATTTGTATTTTTATAGGAGTTGATGGAAATGGAAGATTAATCATGATTCACTTTTAATACATAATTTATCACTTCTTATGTATACCAAATTATGTAAAATTAAGTTATGTGCTGTTGCGCACAAAAAAAGTTCCTAAATACCGTGACGTCATTTTCCATCGCTGTTCTTATTCCACTCATTTTCTTCTTTCTGCATATCTCGTGAACATTTGCCTTAGTCTAGAAGTTTGTGACTGCAGTTTTCCCATTTTTCAGCAATAAAAAACTTAACGTTATATTTAGATAAGGCACGGTTAATCCATACGAACATAATCGAGTTTGCTGTATGTTACATACCAAGCAATTATGACACAGATTTTGCAAATTACTTTGTTATGATTCGTAAATAAGTGTAG